CAGGAGAGATACAGGAATCAAACTCTGACCATCAGGCTTGGGGGCAAACACCTGTACTGGCTGAGCCATTTCGCCAGCCCTGAGGTTTAATTGAAGCCACAGTTGGATGAAGTGACTACCAGGTGGCAACAGTGTGACTTTACAAAGCTAATTTGAAGTTCTTTTCCAGCTGTTCACTGGCTCTGTTCTACCTGCCTTGCTGCAATCTGTCCCTGGGAGGGGTACGCAAAGATCCCTTGCTTGAGGAGGAGCTGTGGTCATACAGAGCAGTCACAAAGATGAGTAGCACATGACAGGGGAGTTGGATTTACAGGGCACTGTGGATGGTCCGACCTTGCCACTGGAATTCATCCAAAGCAGAGGTGATCAAGAAAAGTTCCAGCACCCACAAGAGGACTTGGGCTTCAGAACAAACACACTGTTGAGACATGCCATAGCTTAGAATGACATCTCCACCAAGAACCAGATGGTCACTATTGTCAGCTTTACAGACCTCATAATCTCTGGTGCAATGACTATACTCTGCAATTGAGCCATAAAGAAGCCATAGGTCCCACATCAAGGAATTGACAGTGAGACTTCCCAGATGAGCACTGAAACTTGACTTGCATATCATATTTGTAATGTTTTATACTGATGGTCAACTTGTCAGGATTTAGAACTACCTTGGAAAAGAGTCCCTGGGCATGCCTGGGAGGGATTGTCTAGATAGGTCAGCCACTGGCCACGCCTGTATTATTTTCTTCATTGGGTTAATTGAGGCAGGATGAGCCACCCTAAACGTGAGCAGCACCATTCCATAGTCTTGAGTCCTGAACTAAATAAAAAGAAGGCAAGGTGAAGACCAGTATTCATCGCTCTCTGCTTCCTGACTGAGATGCAATGTGACCAGCTCCAGATACCATGGATGGACTGTACCCTCAACCTGTGAGCCAAAATAAATCCTTTCTTCCTTAAGTTGCTTCTTGTCAGGTATTTTATCACTGCAACAGGAAGAGTAACTAATACAATATTGCAGTCACAAAATGTAACCTTCTGTTTTAAAACATTAAAAATGTAAAGCTTACCGGGCATGGTGGCACACACCTTTAATCCCAGCACTCAGGAGGCAGAGGCAGGCGGATTTCTGTGAGTTCAAGGCCAGCCTGGTCTACATAGTGAGTTCCAGGACAGCTAGGGCTACAGGGAGACCCTGTCTCAAAAAGACCAAAAAAAAAAAAAAAATGTAAAGCTATTCTAAGCTCAAGGGCTGGATTTATCTGGAGGGCCGCCCTTTGCCAGTCATGGTGTAGATAGATGTATGACTTCTCTTGCCAAGACATACACAAACATCTACTTACTCCAGATAAGGCACCAAACAAACAATTCTACCTAAGACTAACTTAGTGAACTGGTGTATTTACTGGGGTATTTATGGGAGTGTGAGGAGTCACTTACAGTAAGTATGGGTGACCACAAGCAGCTGATTCACTGAAAATCCAACTCTCATCTGGGTTGACAACTCTGAACGTTGCATCCCCTTACAAATTTCAGCAATTCTGCCAACTGCTGATCAGAATCTCTCCCCAGAGCAATTGTTTCTGCTTATAGACCCTGGGGAATGGTCTAGAGAATCTCAGAAGTTTCAGAAGCTTCCTGAACCTTAGAAGTTTTGTTTACTTCCTGAGCCTTTCTTTTCCCTTAAGGTAAGAAGCAAAGAGATACAAAGGTCCCAAAGGCGAGAAATGAGGCACACTAAATCCAGTAGTGGAAAGGAAGGACAAGACAAACATCTGCATATGCTATTTCCACCTCCCTCCCAGAAGTAATGCCCACTCACACACACACACACATTCTCACTCTTTCTCACACATCCTCACATACACTCATACATTTCTCACACACACATTCTCTGATACATAGTCTTACAGACATATTCTCTCACTTTCTCTCTCACACACACACACTGATACACAGTCTCTCTCATACACATTCTATTGCACACACATGCTCACACATACACTTTCTCACATACATTCATGTTCTCCCTCCTCCCTCTTCCTGGCCACCATGAAGTCAGACAAAAGCAGGCATGAATGGAAACTTCTAAAACCATGAAACAAAGTTCACCTGAAGAACACAGTTCCTCAACTGAGCGTCCCTCTTCCCAGGTGTCTCTAGTTTATGTCAAGTTGACACAAACTAAACAGCACACCCAGTATGAATGAGACCCTGGGTTCCATCCTCAGTACCCAGGGGTGGGGGGGGAGAAGGGGGGAGGAACAGGAAAAGGACAGAAACCTTGATAAATGTACTTTTAAAAAAACAATGAATACTTGTATGACATATGATCCGCTCTGGCTTTAAACTCTCTGTATAGTTAAGGACCTTAAACTCCTGTTTTTTCTGCCTTAACCTCCCAAATGCTGGGATTACTGCTATATGTCACCACACCCTAAGGGTGCTTCTTACTTATTTGAAGTGATATGGGTGGGACAAAAGGCTGTTGTTGACAGCTGACTGCCAGCTTTTCTAAGGCTCCAGGATTCCCCCATGAGACCTTAGACCGGTGGTCCTTAACCTGTACTGTGAAGTGATGTCTTGATGCCCAGCCTTTCTCCCATGGTCAGGAGCTGCCTCAAAGCATCTGAGCAGTTATCAGACAGGGAAGGAGCATTCCACTCTTTCCCAGACTGACTGCCCATTATACATATGCAAAAGGAGCAGAGCCTAAACAATGTGTGAGGCACCAACAATTGCACCAACATACACTTAACAAGACTCTTAATGAGAGTCTAAGAAAGAATGGATGGTACAGAAAAAAAAATGAAGCCATAATAACCCAAAACTTCCACATGTCTCAAAAAAGGAAAAAAAATTAACTTCCAGATATGTTTGTTTGCTTCCTGAATCTTAACTAGCTTCCCTCCAGAGAAGCTCCAATTAGGAGGCAACTGCTACACAAGAGGACCAAACTGAACTGAGGCCATAGCAAGTGCAGGGGACGATCAAAGAGATGGTGCTCTGGTTAGGTAAGGCCCTTGACACAGAGCTTCCTGGAAGCTTTCAAATTATATACACATATATGATCATTTTATTTTTATGTGTATGAGTGTTTTACCTGCATGCGTGTAGGTGCACCATGTGCATGCAGTGCCCATGGAGGGCAAAGAGAGCTTTGGATCCCCTGGAACTGGAGTTACAGACGGGTTCTTACCTGCCATGTGGGTGCTGCAACAAGAGCAAATGGTGCCCTTAACTGCTGAGCCAGTTCTCCAGGCCTTCAGACAGCTTTCTAACTATTGGCAAGACCAAGCCCCCAAGGAAAAGAGCTGCTATCAGCCCCAAAGAAACAAAGTCTGACACAGCTAAATCCCTGGCTGAAGGAAGCAGAACTAAATCCCTCCTGAGAAGTGTAGCAGCCTGCAGAGGTTGCCATAGTAACCAGAAAGAGAAAAAGTTTCTTGCAAGTTTCCCTGCTTCTGCAAAGACAGAGCCCTGCAGACCTGGTTATGAGCTTCTGACCACTTCTAACTGACTGGGGTTTCTCTTCACCACCACCACCACCACCACCAGGTTTGACATCTTTTCCCTGATGGTCCTTTTTTCTGTTTTGTTTTTTGCTTTATTTGCATACCTACATTTGAACAATCAGGGCCCAGCTGGCACCCTGGCACCTGTATAAATTCAGGTGCTTGAGCCAACAGAGGATGAAGAGAAGGAAGACTTCAGAGGCTGGCTGGAGCCATGAGCCCAGTCCTAAGTGTTCCTGCTTTCCTTAGCTGAAAGAGCCTGAAGACTTCAGGGTTTGGCTTTCTCATCAGAGAAGAAAGGTTACCTTCATGATTCATCATTCACTCATCAGAGGCTCCCTGCACCTGAGGCTTCTGCCCTCCAGACAGCCTCCAGGACTCAGGCAGTGGCTGTAGGCAGAGGGGCTTGTTCTTGCCTCAGCCTCAGATGTTGCAGCAGCTGGTCTAGAGGAGAGAACTGCCTGCAACTGCCTCCATCCTCCAAGGCCCACCACTTCTAAGTCCAGCCAGCAGCTCCAGACCTCCAGACCTGAAATTTGAGAGACCTGCTGCTCCAGCCTTAGCAAGCTGCTGCTCCTGATAATCCCATCAGTGACCTGAAGACTTGCTCTGCAAAAGACTGCTCTTGGTTGGCACCCCTGAGCTTTTGAGTTGTAATGCTTCTCAGAGCTGTAACTTCTTAGAGCTACGATGGCCCTTGGCGACCGCGCTATCAACAGTTTGAGCCAGTTTCACTTAAATCCCCCATGTTTAGTTTCCTCCCACCAAGGTTGTTGATCCCAAACTGACAGATAAAGTACCTCCCATTTGTACTCATAGCTGTGGCCCACTGCAAGAAACCCGTTAGAGACAAATCTCCACCAGCCACTTCCTTGGGACCAGAAAATTCATATAGGTGATGGTAGGAACCTAGACTTTATTCCAGATTGGGGGTGTACTGAAATGAGTCATGTTAATCAATGTATGAGGGAGAAGACGATGGGATATGATATGTACCAGAAGCGGTTTTTGGAGACAGACCCAGGAGAACATGTTGCATGCCACTACATAGGAAGGATGGAAAAGAGGGCCCAGTCTACGCCCTCTTGAAGCAGAGGCAATCAACCCAGCAACCCCATCCTGTCCCTTCCCAACCCCAGGCGACTACATCTCCCAGCATCGCCTGCTCAGGACCGCGGGAAAGGGAAGAGGGAAAAAAAAAAAAAAGTTGTAGCCAAGCATTCCCGGAATGCGTTTCCT